TATTTCAGATTGTGTATAGAACCAGCACACTGTATCCCACGACTGCATTAATGTACACAGCTATGATTTAATTAAAAAATAAAATAAAATAAATTCATATCACTATGAATAAAACTATTTTGGAACAGCAGACCCAATATTTATGTATTTATTTAAAACATATATATTGGTAAGATGGTACTAAGATATAAAATATTCAAAAAACATTGAAATGAAAACAGAGTGATGACAGTTTTAATATATTTTTCCAGTGTTCCCAGGACATAGTCTTGTATCTCTCTGCACACATTCCACTTTGGACATAAGTATCGTAAAGTATATGGCCCTGTTTTCATTGTTTTTAGAAATCTCTCTGTAGGCAGAGAAAATTAAATAAGCCATTGAAAGAACTGTGGGTAGGTCCTTTCTTCTTCCCACTAATATCCTTATCATTACATTTTTCTATTCCAGCTACACGGGTAAAGTCTGAAATTCTTTCTCCTGGATATCAACATGTCTTAGCTCATTTATTCCACCTTGGCTTTATAAATTTCATTCCCCCAAAGAAACCTACATATTTTCCTCTAACTATAGTTTGTGGATACTTCTGTTTTAGTATCATATATATTTACTATCATATATATTAATCTACATGTTTTCCTCTAATGGTTTGTGGATGAGTGGACATAAGCTATGACCGCAAATTGCCTTAATTTGCATGTTTCCAATCGTTACCTAACTTACCCTGAGGTTGTTAGGGTTGTAGTAGTTTGTAGTAGTAGTAGTATTTTGTTTTTGTTTTGTTTTTTTTGCTCCTACATCTCTTCTCCCACTGGACCTGCAAGTAGAGTTCCTCCTTGTTCCTTTCTCAGTACAGTTTCTCCCCCACCTAAAATCTGCAATTTGGAATCTAACCCCAGCAGATTTAGTAACAGACTAATCTTCATTTCCCTATGGCCTGCAGAACCCTAGTATCATTCCTGGGCATGTCTCCACAAATATCTTTTGGATTAGTCCCTTTTTTGAATACTTCTCTTGCTTCATCTCTTGTGATTTTAATACACATTTAGATACTTGTTTTAATACAGTGTCTTGTCGGTCCCATGAACTCACTGATGACCTCCTAAGTCTCTCCCCACCTCAGCAACTTGTCCCCACGGTCATCATTAACAACTATACACAATTTTCCATAAATTTTCCGTAAATATAATTGTTTCTTCCTCATTGGATCTATTTGCAACTATTTCTATTCCTGAAAGGAAATACTCTAAATAAGACTGGGTATATTATTAAAAAAGTATTTTCCTAAATACATGACAAGTATAGCAGCATAATTCTGAGCATGATTGCTTATTTTTAGAGCACTTCCTACATTATGTGCTTGATAAAGGCTGTGACTCAAAGTCACCACTACTCACCACAGGCTCTAAATGCTGAGGCCAAAGCCAGGCAAGGGGAGGCTTCTGAAGAATACATCTACATGGCCACGTGCTCACCCTCCCTTCTTTTAGACTCAAGTCGAAGGGTCTAAGAGCCCCCAACATCCCACAGAACCACGTTTAGCTGCCCTTATATTAGTGATTTTCTTAGGCTGTTCCACAGTCTCTTTTTTCCTTTCTGCCTCCCCGCTACCCTCCTTCCTTCCCTCCCTTAGTCCCCTCCTTTCTTCCCTCCTGTTTGCCTTCCTTCCTTTATTCCTTCCTTCTTTCCTCCTCCTCTTCACTCCCTCTCTTCTATCTTATATATTTATTGGTGCTCATTATATTCAAACCAGTGGTCTCCAAACTACTTTTTAAATTCATATCACTTTCATATGAAAGCTATAAATTAGTTTAGGGCTGAGTACATTGGATA